AAAGATACATGCACCCCCCCTATGTTCACAGCAGCACTATTCACTATAGCCAAGACACGGGAACAACCTAAATGTCCATCGACACATGAATGGATAAAGAAGATGTGGTGCGTATGTAAAGTAGAATACCACTCAGCTGTAAAAAGAAAGAGACAATGCCATTTGCAACTACATGGAGGGATCTAGAGATTAACAAACTAAGTAAGTCAGACAAAGACAAATACCGTATGTATCACTTATCTGTGGTATTCAAAATATGACACAACTGAATTTATCTGCAGTATAGAAACAGACTCACAGTCATGGCAAACAGACTCATGCTTGCCAAGGGGAAGTGAGGATGGGAAGGATGGATTGGGAGTTTGGGATTAGCAGATGCAAACTAGTATATACACAATGGATAAACAACAGAGTCCTACTGTATAGCACAGGGAACTGTATTCAGTATCCTATGATAAACTATAATGGAAAAGAATATGAAAAATAATGTGTGTGGGTATATATATATATATATATATATATATATATATATTTAGCTGCTAAGTCATGACAGACATTTTTTGTGACCCCATGGTTGGTAGCCCACCAGGCTCCTCTGTCCATGGGATTTCCCAGGCAGGATTTTCAACCCAGGGATTGAACTTGTGTCTCCTGAGTTGGCAAGCGGATTCTTAGCGCTGAGCCACCAGTGAAGCCCCGTGTGTGTGTGTGTGTGTGTGTGTGTGTGTGTGTAACTTTGCTTTACAGCAGGAATTAATACAGCATTATGAACCAACTACACTTTAATAAAATAAAGTCTTAAAGCAATGAGCAGAACTAGATGGGCGCCATGTGGCCCTTCGCAGTCGGGGAGGAGTCACACGAGATGGATGGAGCTCACTTTGGTTTCTGTAGCATGCTTGCCGCAACCCTAACTCCACATTCCATTTAAACAAATTTTTAAGCTTTCTATAACGGTGAGTAACATTTACATTTCATCCTTTGCTTAGAACTATTTCTAGCTTTATTTTCTCTTTCCAGAGCTTGGCACCGCTCTTCCAACCACCCCCCCACCCCCCGAGGTATTACTGTCGGCCTTAGAAATGGCATTGCTCGCTTTTGTTCTTCCCGCCGGTTTGATGGGTTGTGTCTGCACATTTGAGAGCAGCATGTTTTCCTTTTTCAGCATCAAAACAATCCTGTAACCACATCACGGCATTTTTAGTCACGTCATTGACCTCCGCTGGCGGTGAACCCCCCTCCAACACTTGAATGCATTAATATCACCGTCTGCAGCATTTTAATTTAATTAGAGCAGTGCTTATAATCCTCCTGAGGAAATGGTTATTCCCCTCTGTAATGTTAAAATAAAACACCTCTGCTTTTCATCCGACTGACAATTTGCTCTCGAGGTGAATGTACCGTAAACGGGTACTTGCCGTCCCTTCCTTGGGGTTGGGCCAGAGAAGCAGTTCTGAGAATGAAGAGGTTTCCTTTATTTGGAGAATTGGATGTTAGTCTCTTTCTGTCTCTCTGCTTGGATGTCTCCATCAGAGATAGCGGTATTTGTTTTGTATTTCTAACTTTTTGACAGTCTGCTGATTGTGCCATGGTAGATGATAAGTGCACTGCTAGAGTAAGAGATTTAAAAATGAGGACCACGTGAATCATCCTAGAGATGAACAGAAAGAGAGACAAAGGAGATAAATGTGTGGTGTGGGATGCCCAAGTGTGTGTTTTGTCCTCCTTGGAAAGGAACCCATAGGCTGGACAGCATCCTTTCTGTGGTCCAGTGAGTGTTGTCCTGGCCGCCGAACAGGGTCACAGTGTAACTGCCACTAATTGCTCGAGGCCCTAGAAGCACATTTTGCTTATCCCCCTCAGGGTCAAGGGTACCCATCCTTTCTTTTGTGACTGACAAACCTCTTCATTAAATCTTTTAAAAAGAACTTCCCAACCCAGACTTACTGTGTAGCCACATTGCTGAGTGGAAACCTGTATCAGAAGTGAGAGGCATTCAAGGTCCATGATCACTCAGTCTCTGGCCGCCTTTTTCTTTTTTAATAATTTTATTTATTTATTGACTGTGCTGGGTCTTCATTGCAGCATGGACATTTCTCTAGTTGCAGCGAGCAGGGGCTACTCTCTAGTTTCAGTACGCAGGCTTCTCATTGCAGTGGCTTCTCTTATTGTGGAGCACAGGCTCTAGGGCGTGAGGGCTTCAGTAGTTGGGGCTCGAGAGCTCTGTAGTTCTGGTTCCTAGACTCTGGAGCACAGGTTCAAGAGTTGTGTTGCACTGGCTTAGTTGCTTCTGTGTATGTGGGATCTTCCCAGACCAGGGATCATATTTGTGTCTCCTGCATTGGCAAGTGGATTCTTTACTGCTGAACCACCAGGGAAGACCTGGCCTTCTTTTTATGAAACAGCAAGGGAGTCTTCTTCTGGAATTGTTGGGATGTGGAGGTGAGGGCATGAAATCCCAGGGCAAGCCCTGAAGTGTGACATTCAGTGTCTCAGTAAAGACAGGGAACCACACACATGTAAACACACATGGGGCTGCCTCCGAAAATTAGAGTAAAAAGCAGCTTGTTGTCATTGAGTCACCAAGTCGTGTCTGACTCTTGCAACCCCATGGACTGTAGCCTGCGAGGCTCCTCTGTCCATGGGATTCTCCAGGCAAGAATATTGGAGGGGGTTGCCATTCCCTTCTCCAGGGGATCTTCCCCACCCAGAGATCGAACGCAGGTCTCCTGCACTGCAGGTGAATTCTTTACCACTGAACCATCAGGGAAGCCCCAAAGAAGGTACAACATGATAATTTACCACGTCAGAATATGTACATTTTAAAGGTGACATCTAGCTTGACTCTTTTTCTCAGCAGGCTGGTGATATATTTTCCCAAGAAATTAAGTAGAATCTGCTTGGAGAGCTGGGTTTCTCCCTCCTCATCATCCTAGATGGAGATGGTAAGGGGATTGAGGTGGCCTCTCACTCACGGAGACTAGTTATAGAATCTTGTCTTCCAGAGAAAGTCACCGTCTTATGAAATGCCATCTTTTTTTTTTTTTTTTCTCGTACTCATGCCTTGCCATTTGAAAGGTTTCTGGTTGCACAGGGTTTTCTTCATCAACAGTTTCACTTCTGCAAAAACCCAAACAAAACAGAAAGCTATTTCTGGGAATAAAGTAACGGTAGATAAGATATTGAGGCATATGTTGGGACTGGGGTGGGGTGAGGGGTTATTGAAAGGTTGAAGTGTATGAAGAATTTGTTAAACTAGAAAAAACAGACTCCATTTAAAATATTTTAAAAACCTATCTCACCTTGAAAAACCCCTCAACAGATTTCGTATGTTTCCCATATGTGTGTTTTATGTCTTTGCCTTTTTCACCTCCAAAACCCCAAACCAAGCTCCGAAAATACAACTCATCCCTAAGTTAGAATTGCTCAGAATACGTGTGATGTTTGGTAAAGTTCAAGAAAAGTGAAGTTGAAGGTTTTGCCTCTGGGTGACCTTTCACAGGACACCTCGATCAATCCAGAAATGAAATGTAAGGTGTATGTGTCTTCCTTGAATTAAGAAATTCACCAAGAAACTTTAGGATGTGTGTTTAAGCAGAAATATTCCAAAGGCCCTCGTTGCCAGTTGAGGATGCCTCGGGGAAGGTATAGTGATTCCATTCGGAAATTACAAAAATATGTATATATTCATTTAAAAATCAAAACTTCCTACCACAACCACCTAACTTTCCAAGTTATGAGAAGAGAAGTTTTAATTTGGTTACAGGGCTGGGGGATGCCCCTGCTTCCCTTTGCATATTTGATGGAGTATAAGATGTTAGAGAATGCTTTGTAAAACCTAAACACCCCCCTTGGCTTTATTTTAATCTGTAATTTTTCTTTTGCTCTTGATTTTTGTTTTCACAATGGCATCTTACCGATCTCCCCTATCCCCACCCCCAACCTATTTTTGGACTGTGTGTGTCCCACTTTACTTTGCCCAGTTAAACCACAGAAACTAACGGAAGTTGTGTTTATGTATGGACTGCAAGTCAAACCAGTTGGTACAGATCTGAGATGCAAATTGCACTACTCTCCCGATGAACAGCATAATCAGTTTCTTGCCATTATTTGCCACATTTTAACTTAAAACTAATACTTCCCATCCCATCACATTGTTTTAATCGGTCTAACAAACACTGCCCTTTTGAATTTAAACAGGGGAGGTGCTGACTTTCCCCTCCCCCTTTCCTTGTCTGTTGAGTAAGTACCGTCAATTAAACCATACTTCCTTAAATGCAGAGGATTCTTTGAATGAGCTCTTGAAATGCTTCAGAAGGAAAGGAAATATTGATTCTAAGATGGAGCACGAGGGGAGCAAGGAGATAACTGGTTGATGTGGCATATAATTCGCAGCTATGAAGGAAGAAATGAAACCCTGGAGATTTTTGGTGGTGATGGTTGTATAAAGGGATAGGTAGGTGATAGACAAATATTGCTTGTAGATTTATTAACTGAAACCTCAAACTTATAAGCTCTCACTTTGGGCTCACCTCTCATTGGGTCTAAGTATGGAATCCTACTTTGATCAGAAACTGGAGATATTGCCAGAGAAGAGAAAAATGGTTTTTAATGTATTGGTGACATAAATTATGTGACCGGGAAGAGTAATTTTTGAGAGAGGAGTCTTTAATGACATTCTCTTGGGATATATTGTTTCATCCCCTTCATCTTTCCTCCCCTCTTTACTGGAACAAACCACTAATACAAAGAGGGAAAAAAAAAAGAATACGTATTGACCCCAGCACGCAGGAAAAGCCCTATCTTAAAGCTTTTCAGCATTTTGTTATAAATCCCGAGTGCTGGTGATCTGAAAGACAACTGCACAGAGAGAGGTATCCTCTGGAGAGGTGACCCACACCCAGACTCCCCCACCCACCCCCTCGCGGCTGTCACCCCTCAGTTCCAGGCTTTCATTGTCTTTTTTCCCCTTCCCCTCTCTCTGCCCTTCTTTTTAACAGCAGGAACGAATTTCATACACACCCCCTGAGAGCCCGGTGCCGAGTTACGCTTCCTCGACGCCGCTTCATGTGCCAGTGCCCAGAGCGCTCAGGATGGAGGAAGACTCGATCCGCCTGCCCGCGCACCTGCGTGAGTGTTCATGTGTCCTGGATGGATGAGAGATGGATGGAATGGGTGGACGGGCAGACTGTCAATCAGAAGGGTCAACTGCATGGGCTGAGGGAGCTAGGGCTGCAAGCCTGGGCAGGGGGCACGCTCTGAGACGGTTTTCCTACAGTTTCCAGAAACTCTTGGCATCCTTCGCTTCCCGCCGCCCCATCCCCCAAAATGGCTTTGAAAACCATGAGATTCCGAGATTCCTGGGTGTTCCGTTGTTTTCTCTGTGCGTTGATCTCAACTCTGACTATGACAGGGGTACTACAGGTTCCACTGAATCTCCCAAGAAGCAAGGTGAACTCTTGGGGGAGAGTCTGTCTTCCTAAAGTTCACACTTATTCCCCTTCTCTGTCTTCACTGCCCCTAAATTTTGCACAACTTCTGGCCAGACTCCCTCCTCTTTGGCTTTTTGCTGTGTACTTGAACTTTATTTGCAGGGCTGTCCCCTCCTCTTCCATGATTGTCGCTCTGTTCCTTCCTCTTGTGCCAACACAGGGCCTTTCTCCCTCCCCTCCTGTCTTCTCTGCCTCTCTTTTGTACCTTCATTGCCTCCACGGCTCCCATTGTGGGTACTCAGTCGCTCAGACGTGTCCCACTCATTGTGACCCCATGGACTGTAGCTCTCCAGGCTCCTCTGTCCATGGGATTCTCTAGGCAAGAGTACTGGAGTGGGCTGCCATTTCCTTCTCCCAGGGATCTTCCGGACCCAGGGATGGAACCCGCATCTCTTGCATTGGCAGGCAGATTCTTTACCGCTGAGCCACCTGACAACTCCCATTATTTTGTAATAGTTCTACCTTTCTCTTCTGAGTTTCCTCTGCCCCTTCCTCTTCCACTTCCCCTGCCTGAATCCTCAGCTGCAGCTGGGCAGAGCATCAGGGGCCCCACACTTGGGCTGCTGGGGCCAGGCTCCGAAGCACCTGACACCTGTCCCTTCCCTTTTTGTCTCTCTTCTGAGCTGCCACTCAGCCCTGATGATCCAGGGTGCTGGGTGTAGCAGGGGAGAATGGATCACCTGATTTCCAACCTGGCTGCGATGTCCAAGAAAATGCCAGATTCTCTGGCTTGACTATTACTCTTGGGACGCAGGTTCAGGTTATGGAGGACACGGCAGGGGGAGGGAGTCACCTTGGCCCTTCCCTAGTTGATTTCTCATGACTTGAATGGTGGTCTGGTTGTACCTACCATGTCTTTCTGCCACAATCGTGCTCCCTGGGTTATTCTGCTCTTCGTGGCTTATCCCTCCTGAGAAAGCCCAAGGCTGCCTGCTAAGAGTGGGGAGCGAGAGGAGAAGATGCAGGCGTCTGTTTCCTCTGTCTGTGCCTATTCAGCAGATCAGATGACTATGATGCTGGGAGGTACTGGGGGGTGTTACTGGCATATTCCTTCTCTTTCACAGTGAGTATGGTAGCTGTAAAACTTCAAGGGGTGTTGGGGGCTGAAGGCATCCTTCACCTCCTTCAGTCGGCCCGCCACATCTATCAGTGTTTACAAAGCTAGTATACTGTGGTCAGCACCTTCCAGCCTCAGTCTACCATCTTCTCCACAATGAACTTTAAAGAGATTAGGACTGTGAGGGTGTCAGGGTCATGACTGTGGGCACGGTCATCTGCAGTAAACTGGAGCATTGTGGTACCAGTGAGTGTTGTGAGCAGACAGACTAGGAAAGAGACCACAGCCAGGTGTGAGCCTTTTTTTCTCCAGAAGCTGTTCTATGACTAGGACATTCACTTCAGGATGGAACAGACTCAGGCCATGCAGACAAAGCATGCCTGCTACTAATCTCATTCATTTATTCATTCCACAAGCAGTTACTGATTACCTGCAGTATGCCAGACACTTTGAAATGAATAGAGTAGACCCAACTCCTTGCCCCTGTGGAGCTTGGAGTCTCCATAAAGAGAGAAAAGGAAACGATGAACTCCTGTTCCAAATAGGCTGAGGTTTCTTTCACGGCTTTTGAATTCTGTACGATGACACATTCACTCCCCCGACCTCCCCCCATCCCAAGAAAGCCCTAACTCTTGGTTTGCTGCTGGATGACTTTCACATATGGAGGCTCTTTTACCCTAGCGCTGCCTCTCCATAAAAAGTTATCATGATAAAATGCACTAACAAACACAATGAACTGGCACGCAGGAGATCTTAATCCTTAACTAGTTCTACTGTTAGATGAGCTGTTTGACTGTGAGGCAGTCATCATAACACTCGGTTTTCCTACCGTGCAAGGTGGTGTTTGGACAGGAGAATATTTAACAGCCCTACCTTGAAAATATTATGACCTCACCTAAGACATCATTTTCCCTACTTGGAACTGTTTCTTCCATACAGACATTGTAACGTTTTTTCTTGAGTAGACAGTTTCCTCATTGAGTCACAGCTGTGCTGGTCACCGCTGGCCAGGCCCTGCCAAGTGCCTAGCACATAAGCATCATAGCTAGTATTTATTTATTGGGATGACTTTGTAGCAGGCACTGTGTGAAGTCCTTGATGGAAATTATTTTATTTATTCTCACAGCAATACTTGTAGATATTCTTTCAATATCCATGTCACACACCAGGAATTTAGCATTTAAGAGAATGTAAGTAAACTGCCAAGGTCACCCAGTCAGTGGGAGATAGAGTCAGGGTTCAAACTCAGTTCTGTCTGACTCCAGAGCCTGTGTGTCTGTGTGTGTGCTCAGGCATGTCCAGCTCTTTGAGAAACCATGGGCCATAGCTGGCCAGACTCCTCTGTTCATGGGATTCTGTCCATGGGGCTCTCCAGGCAAGAATCCTGGAGTGGGTTGCCATTTCCTTCTCCAGGGGATTCTCCTGACCCAGGAATTGAACCCACGTCTCCTGAGTCTCTCGCATCAGCAGGCAGATTCTTTACCATTGCGCCACCTGGGCTCTTATCTATCCTGTCACGATGTAAGTATATTTAATATGTACGTTTTGGATGGATGGATGAATTCAGGGTTGACACTTAGCCAGTATTCACTGATGTGGCCAGAAGGCTGGTTTCTGGCTAGAATCTGTTCTAACTGGTGGATCAGTTGTTGAATAGTTTGCATTTCTCCCTTGGGTAATGGATGGATGAGTAGATGGATGGTTGGATGGATACCCACATAGAGAATTATCCGATACAGAACTGTAGCAGAGCACTACTGGCCTACATAGTCAGTTGTTAGGTGATGGATTTAGGTTTCATGGTGATAGTTTTGCCTGAGTGCTACTCTCTGGGCAGCCTGACGTTAGGGCCCTCCTTGGCATCTGCACTGGTCCTCTCGTAACACCACCGGTTGCCACATCTGGAACGAATCCTCCGGTTCCCAGGCTCTTGCCATCTGTCCTCAGCTGGGACTTTCCACGGGAGGCTGAGCTGCCCGCCTCTCTCGCGGGTTCCAAAACTCAGCTGCCCATTGTGCTGTTTGAGAAAAGTCTCCTGGAGCCTCTAGGTTGGTTGCGGCTGAACTGTACACTTGAAGATGCCTCCCAGCTGGGTTTCCAAGCCGAAAAGAAAATAAATCTTCTGACAAGGGAATTTGGTTATTGCTGTTCGAATCTGGGATTCCAGACAATTCCCAGTGGAATGCTCATGGAAAGTACGGGGAAGAATCCGAGAGCCAAGACAGCAGCAGGACATTTATGGTATTGCTAGTTCGAAAGCGTTTTTTAGCTGCTTGTTTTAAAGAGACACTCACCAGCCTGGTATGCCTCCAGTGGCTTCCTTTCTCCCTTTATCCTCATTGATCGCCAGATAAACCCTCTCTCTCTTAACCCTTCCTTTTCTTCCTTTCTGAAATCAATATCTAGCCTTTCCTGGTTAAAGGCGAAGGCAAGGATCGTAATATTTAAGGTTCTTGTATGATGGGTTTCTCACCATTTTGTTCTCCAAACACAGGGCCAAATGGAAGACACAGTGTGACAAATTAGGAAGCTGTTAAGAAGTAGAAAGTAATGCCTTTTCCTCTTACTTGCCTGTGATTAAAAAAGAAAACAAAAAAACACAGACAGTGAGAAATAGGGCAACCTGTTAAATGGTGATTCTAGAGAACGTGATGGGGCAGGCAGGGCAGTCTGGTCCCAGGAGAGGAGGGGAGCCCAGCGGAGAAGGGCTTGCCTGCCATCCTGGTCTGGCCTCCCGACCCCCACCCCCACTCCCTTGCAGGAGTCCTCCAGCAGCTTCTTGGAACTTCCCTGCTGCACCAGGAAGCAAACACAAGTATGTTTATTGAAAAGACAGAAAGGTGTTTTTTTCCCCTTCCTTCCGTCTAGGGTATTAAAAAAAAAAACTTTTTTTTAACCTTGAGGCTAGAGGAGCTGAAGTGTGACAATTACATCAGGTAGGTGAAAATGAAAAGTTCTGTTCTTTAAAGAGGACGTAGTCCTTTCATGCATGTGTGCTAAGTCCCTTCAGTCATGTCCAACTCTTTGCAGTCCCATGGACTGTAATCTGCCAGGCTCCTCTGTCCGTGGAATTCTCCAGGCAAGAATACTGGAATGGGTTGCCGTTTCCTTCTCCAGGGGCTCTTTCCAACCCAGGGATTGAACACGAGTCTCTAACATCTCCTGCACTGCAGGCGGATTCTTTACCATTAGCACCACCTGGGAAGTCCCCAAACCTTTCATGATACCTTGAAAAAAACTCATAGGACTGTGGTGCCCCTGAGAGTGGCTGGATAAGGCCAGTTTTGATTCTCTGAGCAGTGAAGGGTCTCACTGGACCTTCATGGTATGAAGATTCTTTCTAGTTTGTCTGCCCAGGGATCACTTTTTTTTCTAAATTCATGGGTGTTGGGTGGCCAGGAGGACAGCAGAGATACCTTATGGGCTGATGCCAGCCCTGTGACATACTCAGCCTCAAATCACGATGTCCAGGGCCACCCAAGTGGTCACAAAGCATATATTTCAGATCTACGGGGCAGAATTGAAATTACTAAATGCCTTTTCTTTATTAAATTCCTTTTCACATAATCATCTTGCATTTA